CGTCTCCCTTCACCCACTTCTCCACTTTGTTTTTCCCTCGTGAACCTTTTTAGTGAGGAGCCCCCTGGTGACCCAGTGATGAACTGCTCTGCTGCTAGCCAGTGGGTCAGCAGTTCGAATCCACAAGCCGGTGCATGTGGCAAAAATGAGGCTCTCTGCTTCCGGGGAAGCCCCATGGGCTATTGCTCCTCTGCCCGACTGGGTCTCGATGTGACAGAACTGACTCAGTGGCCATGAATGTGATTTTGGGGTCTGCCGTGTCCTGACGTCCCGTCCCATCACATTTATCCTCAGTGACCTCTTGAGCAAGGCTGCTTGTCCAGCTTCTCTCTGTGGCCTTAGGATTCTCTGACCGTTGTCCCGAGGCTTCAAGGGGGTTCCGGGCTGGCCATAAAGCGGTAGACCAGGGCGGTTCAGCCAGCGTGGCCAGCGGTATAGTGCGAAGCGCGAGAAGCTTACGTGATGGCCGCCAGTTTCAGACGCAGCGGGCTCTTGGAGTTGTGAACTTTGCCTCCGGCTCCACCGCCACGTCTTGTGTTGGGATGCTGGGAAGACGTCGTGCCTTGACTTCCCTCCAGCACGGCTCTGGCAGCCGCTCCTTTCATGGCGGAGGTTCTGCCTCTCTCTCGGTAACGTGTCTGCTTTCTGTTGCTCAGCGTGTGCACAGCAGAGCGGATGCCAGCTCAGCAGTAGCTGCATGTAGGATTCGGTGACATCAATCAGAGTCCAAGCGAGGGACCATGCCACCCTCCCTTGCCAAGTCCCACCTCCCCCATTTGTGATTCCACTTTCGCACGCTCCTCAGAAAGCTCTTTAGCAGCTACGAGGGCAGGACCCATGGCTTTCCACAGAGAGGGATCTCGGAGGGTTCTGAACCCGGAAGCCTTCATCTCCCCAACAGGGTCACACTACACTCTTGTACACCATTGTCTGTGACCAACCAGCAAGCTCCTGGAGCTTCCGTGTCCAGCGTCTTGACTGGAGCCTCAGGGCGGAAGCGTGCTTGCTGGAATCGCGTTCCCTCCCCTCACTCCTGGTGTGGGCCTTTCTGGCAGAGCCGACCCCCACCCTGCTCACCTGTCTGGGAATCTCCTCAGAGACTCTTCGCTCAGGCACGGGAGAGGCCAAGGATTTACAGGTTCTCAAAGATCGTATCCTCTGGGTCAAGTTCAGGTCCCTATTCCGTACTCCCTTCTTTGATAGATGATGGGGACGCTCTGCCCCCATCCCAAATGCTAGTCGTTGGGGTGGTCACCCGGCGATGAGTTGGGCTTCGCTGGTGTTTCTTGGCTGACCTGGGCTCAGGGCTCAAAACCTGTGAAGACCTTCCTGGCTGGGCGCACCTTCCTGCCAGAAAATGAGGCTGTACTAGAATTCTTTGGACTGTGCAATCAGTTCGTTCTGCTTCGTCCGAAAGGCACTGCGCACCGTGCTCTGGGTTTGCAGACTGGGGGTGATGATGAACCCCACCCTTCATGTCTGTTGTCTACCCCCAACATGCGTGAGCCTGAGTTTGGAGGCGCATGGCAAATCTGGCTTTGGGGGGCACGTTGGCAACGAAGGCACGACCTTGTCCAGGCTCCCGATGGAGCCCAGCAAAGAGGTCCATTCACGTGCCCACTCAAGTAGTGTCTCCTGCACGTGCATCCAATACGCCCGTAGCAGAACCACACTGCGGGTGCGCCCCGGGGCAGTCACGGAAGCGTTCGTGTGTCCCTGTTTCCCTGTGTTACAGGATAACGTAATTTTTGAGAGACTTTCAAGGGACTCAAAGTACATGGAGGAGACGCTGTGTCATCTGGAGTATTTTGCCACAGAAGGTAAGTCGCCATTGGAAACATCGTCTGTTTCGCTTGGGCCCGTTCACGTGTCTTTTCAAGTGCTCACCACTGCTGCAGACCAGTCCCGGTGGGGCGCTGGGCTGGTCATTGCAAGTTGGGGTGTTGCCTGTCCAAATGCACAGGTGCTTAGGGAGACAGGTGAGGCTGTCTGCTCCTGCGAAGACTGAACCGCTTCAGAATGCCGACAGGGCAGCGCTGTTCTCTCCTACGGGGTCTCTGTGAGTCAGATCAGCTAGGCGGTGCGTTTTGTTTTGTTGTGTATTACTTTATTTCACTGAGGTGCATCGATACCAGGTGACTTCTGGCCTGGCTGCTAAACGTTGTCCCTCAACCTACCGGCAGCCGTGAGACTTTGTGAGATTGAGATTAGGAGAATCCTGGTGGCATAGGGGGATAGGTGTTGGGCTGCTGACCACGGGTCAGCAGTTTGAATCCACCAGCCACCTCTGAGGTAGAAAGACGAGGCTCCTGTTCAAAAAGAGAGAGTAGACTCCCAGGAAGAGCGACAGGCTCAGAAACCGGCAGGGGCAGCTCTGCCCTGTGCCAAAGGGTCCCTGTGAGTCAGCATGGACTTGATAGCAGTGGGTGACAGGGTGCTCACAGGCGCCCTGGTGGTGCAGTGGCGAAGCACCGCACTGGGGACCAAAACGGCATGGTCCAGCCCAGTGGGCTTCCACAAAGAGTTCAGTCTTGGGGACCCTGTGGGGCAGTAGGACTCTGATCTCCAGGGTCATGACGAGGAAAATCAGCTGCGTGGCAGTGAACATGGCTGCTGCTTGGGGCAGGAGTGTTGTCCAGAAGGGGTGCGCTGTTTTGTGGAGCCACGTTTTGGCTTGTTGTGGGGTGCCATTGAGCCGGTGCCCGCCCATAGCGACCCTGTGCACAATGGAACGAGGCACAGCCCGGTCCTGCGCCCTCCTCCCAGCGCTTCCGGTGCTCGAGCCCATTGGCTTGCTCGCTGGGAACAGGGTAGTCTGTGACGGTGACAGCCTGTGTGGCTGGGGCTACGTCCAGTCATCCACAGAGGATTCCGCACATTCCGGCCCTGCAGGGATGAGGACTTTGAGCCCAGAGGGACGGCAGGCGAATTCCCCACAGTGCAGAATTGCGGGGCGGCAGCAGTGACCACTCCCTGCCCCACCCAGGCCAGTGAGCTCTGTGGCCCCAGAGCTTGCAGTTGGTCTAAGGAGAGGATGACTTGGGGAGCCCACAGGGAGCAGAACGTGAGTCTTTGGAAAGGCTGTTAGACAGCCGTGAGGTCAAGTGTCCCTGCTGGTCAACGTGATGACAGCCAGAGCCTTGCTTGGCGCGCGCACACACACAGACACCCCTGCTTGAAAGTGTGCTTCCTCCAGGTGAGGAGAGCACCCTGAGCTCTTGCTGGCTGGCTTGGCCCAGACTTCCTGCTTCTTCTGCCTGCTGCGACCTGCCTGTCGCACAAGCACTCATGGACGGGGTCCATCCAGATAGGGACAGACTAAGCCCCCTGCCACAGACTGAAGTTTGACTCTGAGCGACCCTGTAGGACAGAGTAGATCTGCCCCGTAGGGTCACTGAGGCTGTGAATCTGTACGGGAGCCAACGACCTCATCTTTCCCCAATGGCGCATCTGGTGGGTTTGAACCGCTGATCTTGTGATTGGCAGCCCAATGCTGTGTCCGGGTCAGGAAGAGGTTTAACACACTGGAATTCAACCCTCAAGAGCCAAACCTGCTGCGCTCCAGTCCATTCTGACAACAGAGGCCCTCTAGGAGCCCCTAAAACTGCCCTCTGGTGTCTAAGACGAACCCTTTTGGAAAGAAAATAGCCTTGCCTCTTTCCCATGGAATGACTGGTGGGTTCCACCCTCCAATTTCTTGGTTAACAACGTAATGTCTAACTCATCGTATCACCAGGACGACCCCCCAAACAGACATAACACCTACACTAAACTACTGTTACCGAGTTAATGCCAGCTCATATTGACCCTTTGGAAAGGGTAGAGGTGCCCCTCTTTACAGGAGAAGGAAGCCCCATCTTTCTCCTGTGGAGCAGCTGGTGGTTTTGAACTGCTGCCCTTGAGGATCTAAGCCCAACATGTTACCACTATGCCAGGATGGCTCCTCAGGAATCCACAGGAAACCAAAAAGACGTACGGAGTTGATTCCCATTCACAGCTCCACAGGATTTCCAGAGTTAATAATCTTTATGGAAGCAGCCAGCCTCATCTTTTTCCCTCGGAATGGCTGGTGGGTTCGAACCACCAGCTTTCCAGTTAGCAGCCCAATGATTAGCCCAGTGCACGCACTAGTGGGGCTCCGTCCGTAGAATATAGTATAGTTATTTATTCAAAGTCCCTTTTTAGGTGGGAGGAGCCCTGGTGGCATAACGGTGACACATTGGGCTGCTAACCCAAGGTCAGCAGTTGAAACCCACCAGCCACTCTGGGGTGAGGGCATGGGGGAGAGATGAGACTTTCTGTCCCCATAAAGATTACACCCCAGGGGCACTTCTGCTCTGTCCTGTAGGGTGACTATGAGTCAGAATCTTCCAGAAGACAGTGAGTGAATTTTCTTTTTTAGATGGGTGAAGGTTGTTTTAAAGACACCTCCAAGCAGGAGTCTCCTTGATGGGTCTGAACCCTCGTGCGGAATGGAGCTAGGAGGTTTCCACGGAGATAAGCTCACCCGTGGCACTGCCCGGTCTCCTCTTGGCTGATTGCAGGTCTGCGGACGCTCTGCCTGGCGTATGTCGACCTCTCCGAGAACGATTACGAGGCGTGGCTGAAAGTCTATCAGGAAGCCAGCACCATCTTGAAAGACAGGACGCAGCGGCTGGAGGAGTGCTACGAGATCATCGAAAAGGTACGCGACGGAAGACCTGCCGCCTCCCGGAGAAGGCAGTCCCGCGGGCGTCCGCTGGCTACAGAACGAGCTTGCTGTCCGGCTAACATCTTAATCAGCCATTGGGTTTTCATCCCCTTGTTTTAAAAACATTTGGATTTTGATGGGCTGTCTGAAAGGCCCCGTTTCCCTCAGCTAGCTAAGCACGCGTGATATCCTAAGGAGCCTCGGTGGCATAGCGGTTATGTGTTGGGCTGCTAACTGCAAGGTCAGCAGTTTGAAACCACCAGCTGCCCCATGGGAGACAGATGAGGCATTCCGCTTCCGTAAGGAGTTCGTCTCAGAATCCCAGAGGGGCAGGTGTGCCTGGGCCTGCAGGGTGGCTGTCGTATGGGATTGACCTGGTGGCAGTGAGTGAGGAGTGTGTGGTCAAAGCCACGTCACTCGCGTCCTGGTCATTGCACAGATGAACGCTCACCAGCTGCTCAGACCTGGAATTGGCATGTTGCTGGGAGGGCCAGACTTGGCACAAATGAAGGGGCTTCATAAAACTTGTGGCAAAATGCCATCTGCTGTCTTCTCATTCCATTTCCTGCAAGCTTTATAAAGCCCCTGTGTATGAGCTTCTTAAAATCTACAGTTAGTAGAATAACTATTTTTATCGTGTCTGGAGGATGCACCGAAGGTCCCTCAGATGTGTGGACAGAAGACGGTTCAGAGAACTCTTCATTCATCAGGCAAAGCAGAATTCACTGAAATCAGACCAGTGATTTCATCTGCCTGCTAGGAACTTTCACACCTGTAGAGCTCCCTGAAAACTGTGGTATTGATAGATGATTGAAGTGTCGACCCTTAAAAAAATTTTTTTTTATTCACAAAAACATTGTTCTCTTAGAGCGTGTCTAACTTAAACCCGCATTCTTATTTTTTTATTGATTTGTTTTTTAAAATTAAAAAAATTAGTATTTCTTTTATAACAGAATTTTATTCTGTTACTTGTTACTTCTGTTGTCTTCTTGGATTTCTTTCTTCACGGCAGTGTCTCCCAAGGAACTAGGCAGCTTTTGACTTTGGGATTCCCTTCCCTCAGGGAGTCAGGTGTTAACTTTTTCTACTTTGCGTCAGACACTATGGCTTTCAGTTTCTCAGTCTCCCAAGTCATCAACGATCCCCCCACCCCGCTAAACTTCATTTTTGGTTCTCTAGTTTCCATATGTTTGCATTTTTTATTCTTAATGTTCTGCATTTGTTGGAGTTGTTCTGCTCTTGTTGCTATCCGTTTGGGAGGGGTCTGGGTAGGAGTGGTGCTAAATCCAGGCAGGCATTTGCTGTGTGTTGCCGGAAGGAGCACATTATGGGATGGTCAGAAAACAAACGGCACCAGCGCCACCTCCCCCTTCCTTCGGACCACCTCTTTATCTGACCGTTCACTTTATGACCTTTCATGTGTCTGATGGCATTGAACACTGAAGTCCGAGTGAATGCTGGTGAAGGCTATGTGTCAACTCAACTGCACCGTGGTTCTTGGTGGTTCGCCAGTTATGCAATGATGTAATCACCTTCCAGTTTTTGTCATCTGATGTGATCATCCTCCATTTTCCCATAACTTTGAAATTTACACAAGAACCTTTGGACTTTTGGAACCTAACCATGGGAGCAGTGGGCAGCTGGTGTACTCGATAGGTGACTTGCCTGGCCAGTGGCAGACGTGGTAGCTGCTTTATGAGTTACAGGGATTTTTCGGTAGTCTGTTTGCCTGGATGAGGTGATAGAATGTGGGTGAGAGGAGACTGGTCGTAGTTAGCAGCTCTCCTCTGCAGACAGATTGGAATGTCCTGGCCTGCAGCTCAGGGCACTGTGCACCCACACCTCTGTTGAGTGTGACCACATGCCTTGCTTGTGGGCTTTTACAGGACAGCAAAGGTGAGTGTTATAGCTCCTAAGATGTTTTGATATTTTCCTCTCTAGCTGTTAAAATTTTAAAAATTTTGACTGCTGGATTTGCTAGATAAGTGCATCCTCTAGAAATAATATTGTTTCCGTAGCTTAATCATTAGGTAATCATTGGCAGGCCGCAGGTGGAAGGCTGGTGTGTTGTCAATATCCTCGGAGTAACTTGCCCACATTCTGTGCTGCCCAGTGATTCCTATTCTATTTCAAGTTGACCATGCCTGTGCCCTAGGAGATGAATGATGAGCCACAGTTGGCTCTGTGCCTTCCGTGGCCCTGACTTGGTGAAGTGTTTTGAAACACCATCCATCAGGTTATCATGTCTTTGTTGGGTGCCGCGAAGTTGGCTATGACTCCCAGCAAACCAGCGTACATCAGAAGGGAACACTGCCCGTCTGGTGCCATCCTTACAGTCCCTGTTATGTCTGAGCCCACGGCTGCAGCCACTGGATCAATCCATCTCCTTGCCAGTCTTTCTCTGTTTTCACTGACCCTCCCCTGTAACAAGCGTGGCGTCCTTCTCCAGGCACCCAGCTCTCCTCTCTCCTATTGCATG